GGTTTAGCGTTTAGGGTTTTTTTGGGTTTACGGTTTGGGGTTTAGGGTTTAGGGTTCAGGGTTTAGGGTTCAGGGTTTAGGGTTTGGGGTTCAGGGTTTAGGGTTTAGGGTTTTTTTGGGTTTAGGGTTTGGGGTTTAGGGTTCAGGGTTCAGGGTCATTCAGGGTTCAGGGTTCAGGGTTTAGGGTTTGGGGTTCAGGGTTCAGGGTTTAAAGGGTTCAGGGTTTAGGGTTTAGGTTCCGGCGTTTCAACAGAGGCTCCATTTACGTACACAGTCGAAGTATTGGCCAGAGAGGGGTTTGTCATTCAAGATAGGACTTGAGGGCAAAACTAGTAAACCTGCAACCCCTAAACCCTGAACCCGGCAACGCTACAGACTCTAAACCCCAAGCCCTAAACCCTAAACTCTACACGTAGATGGAGCTTTACTGTTCAGGGAGTCGACTAGCTGTTCATCAAACTCGGCTCAGCCAAGGATCAGCGAGATGATCCGTGCCTTCGCGGCTTGGCTGAATTGCCGTTGGCCCTAGTCGAGTGTTTGGCATCATGCAACCGGAAAGTAAGGCTCTCACCGTAGGCTCCATTGTAGTTCCTTTTGGGGTTGCGTTGTAGGTTCCTGAATATAAACCGCAAAAAGAACTACAATGGAGCCTATGGGTAGATACCAAAAGCATTAAGCTTATCATATATCGGGCATGACAGAACCCCCCGTAAAGCAGGGTATTAAGTACTCCCAACTTGCCGACAACCGATGAGGGTACAGACATTGGGATGTAGCTCCCGGCGAATTCCCCAACCAAGGGTCCCATCTACCTATATAGTAGAATGTAAGGTTTCTATATTAAGGATCACTATTATGGTTTAGGGACCTATTCCCTTAAACCCCAAATCCCAAACCCCTAGACCCTAAGCCCTAAACCCTAAACCCAAAGGGTCAGCCCTTTGGGCTATCGATTGGGTACGTTGGGGTTTGGGAGCGGGTTGCGCGTCATGCAGCCCTTTGCCTGTTGCCTTTTGGGTCCGAGACCTACCGTTTGAAGGGTTAGAGCCTATAATAATTAAGGCTATAGGGTTTAGGGTTTAGACAGGACTCCTGTTTATAAACCCTTGCAGGACCCTTGGGTTTAGGTTTTAGGGTTTAGGACTCTTATCATGTTGTCCCACCCTCTGTTAAGCCCCTAAGCCAGCTCAGCTCTACTGTTATGATTGTAATCACAATTCTATCCCTTACTTTCAAAGGACTCTTATTTTAAGGCCTTTGGGCCCACTGACCCTATTATACAAGGTTTTCGGGCTATTTTGATGCTAAAGGTTTTCAGATTACTATTCAGATTACTATTGCTACTCTATTACGGTTGATGATATACATCCTGCATTACCCAGAATAAGGAATATACTATAATTCCCATAGTATATGGCCCTTAAAGTAATGCAGGATTTATACCAACAGCAGTTCCCCTAAACCCTAAACCCCTTAACCCTATAGACCCTAAAGCCTAAACCCCAAACCCTAAACCCTAAACCCCTAAAACCCTAAACCCTAAACCTTAAAATGCCTATTGCGAATACTAAGGACGCCGCTCTGGAAGGATCCGACCCAGGCCTGGTCGTCTACGTAGCGGATGCTGGGGTTCCACAGTAGTATCCTTTTGCCCTTTTTCGTTTAGGGTTTATAAGGTTTATAGGGGTTGAGGTTGAGGTTTTAGAGGTTGAGGTCTTTGGGTTTAAGGTTTGGGTCTAGGGTTAAGGGTTTGCTTCAAACCCTAAACCCTAAACCCTAAACCTTAAACCCTAAGCCCTGAACCCGTCATTAAGGGCTTGGAGGTTCATGGGTAGTTATAAGTGGGGTTATAAGTAAGGTAACTATAGTTATAAGCCATATTGGGGGACTTATCACCCTACTTGCAACTACCCATGAACCTCCAAGTACTGGGGAACCGAGGACGCATCCTCCTTGGTCTGCATCGAGAATTCCATGTCCTCGGACGCATCTTCGAGGCTGGGCTTCATCAGGAGGGCTCCCGTAATTGTTCTTTTAGGGTTCCCTTTTTTTAAGGGCTCCTTTTCATTCCCTTTAGGGTTCCCTTTTTAAGGGCTCCTTTTAATTCCTTTTAAGGGTTCTGCAAGCTCTGTTCTTTTTTAAAAAGGGTTTGGGGTATATTCCTAAACCCTAAACCCGGGTATAAGGCTCCATGGTGCTCTTTTGGGTTTAGGGGTTTAGGGCTTTCGGGTTTTGGGTCTAGGGGTTCTGGGCGTAGGGTTTAGGGTTTAGGGCGCAGTCGGGTTCCAGGGCTCAGGGTTTGGGTTTAGGGTTTAGGGTTTAGGGCTTAGGGTTTAGGGTTTAGGGTTAAGGGTTTAGGGTTTAGGGTTTAGGGTTTTGGGGTCTTTTTAGGCCACAAGGATGTCTCATACTGGGGTTCGTTTTAAACACGGTGTGCCAAAATTGTCGGGGCCCTTACTCTAAGGACGTTGTCTAAATCCTCCATGTGTTTTGCGCCTTGTTTGACCCTACCATGCCCCAAAAACCCTAAACTCTAAAAGCTAAAAGCCCTAAGTCCTAAGCCCTAAAAACCCTAAGCCCCAAACCCTAAGCGCCCTAAGCCCTAAGCCCTTCGAGGGCGAGGTGAAGGGTTTCGGGAGACGCGGGTTTCATGGTCTTGCCGCCCGATCAAGCCTGACCACCTGCCAACCCGGAAGTGTACCCTAAGGGTCCAAGGGACCCAATAATACGGTACTTTCGTTGCGGAGGGTAGCTATCTACGTTAATATTCGGGTGAGTGTATGATTATTAAGTACTTGGACCCTTAGGGGTACTTGAGGGTTCAGGGAAGTTTAGGGGTTAAGGGTTTACAGTTTACAGCTTAGTTTCAATACTCAATAATTAAGGTATATACCGTAAAGTTTAGTAGGATCCCGAATATAAGCAATATACCTCCAAGGTATACTCCTGAAACAAGGGATTTTGGAAGGTCTGGGCATCTCTGAACCTCCACACCTGAAACCCTGTTACCCCTCAGCGCTCACCCGGCACCCAAAGCTGTAAGTTAAGCTGAGTTCACCTATATAGGTTCCTTAAAACCCCCGGATATAAAACCCTAAACCCTCAACCCTAAACCCTAAACCCCTAAACCCTAAACCCGAAAACCCTAAATCCCGAAACCCTAAACCCAATCTCGGATGGTAAGTTGGATCTTAAACGAGATATATTTCTGAACCCAGAGGCTTCCTGTGGGGTAGTTCTCTGGGTCCCTTCTAGGGTCCTTTTTTACAAGGGTGCCGTACTATATTTGGGGGAAAGGGACCTTAATTAATGTCGAGAACTACTGATGTACTGCACATAGTATATACTTTGACTTCATCGAGATTCCTGTATCATGGCTTTAGGCCAGAGCATAGACTAAACAGGTACATGGAGTTTTTGGGCTACATATCGAAGCCTTTAGCACCCCCATAGAACCGGCATGCAAGCCCTATTATAAACCCTTGAGGAACCAAAACAGGCTCAGCTCAGACAAACCCTCAGGCCCCAGAACCTGAACAAAGTCTTGCAAGCAACAGCCCCACCCTTCACCATGAAAAAAACAACGACACCCTAAACCCTATAGGCCCTAAACCCTAAAGCCTGTAAGCCCTAAACCCTATAGATCCTACACCCTACAGACCCTAAACCCTATAAACCCTATAGGCCCTAACCCCCAAAGCATGACTAACCCCCAAAAACCCTAGGCCCTGAACGCCCTAACCCCCAAAACATGACAGGATCCTCTCAGACACCTAAACCCTAAACCCCAAAACCCTAAACCCTAAACCCTAATCCCTATAGGCCCTAACCCCAAAGCATGAGAGGATCATCTCAGACACCTGGCCCGCGGACACGGAGTCCTTGTCGCTGGAGCTCAGCCAGTCTGGCAGTGAGGCGCTCCGGGGCTTTGATAGTGGGGCCTCTTACCCAAAGGCTCCATGTACCTTTACAGTAGATACTTAGGCCTTAAAGGGGTCCCTATATAGGTACTTTAAGGCTTAAGTATTTACTAGATGGGTACATGGAGCCTTAGGGTTAATACCCTAAGCTTTAGGGTTTAGGGTTTAGGGCCCTAAGCCCCACGGGATTACCTAATCATAGGAACCTAAATATAAGACAGAAAAAGCAACTACTATGGGGCCTATGGGTAAACCCTGAAACC